GTGTGTGCAGAACATCCTTGTTGCTGATCTCCAATCCTTTTTGCTTACAGAAGTGGAAAGATTATGAATTATTCTTTGATACCCCTACATGTTCCTTTCAAACATTTGCCATTTCCCTGTCTTGGAAAAAGGTCCCAAAGCACTATGTAAAAGGTCAGCAGAGGTCAGACTCATAATTAATATTGATGTGAGCTTTTGTCTTATAACTTCCTTGTATAAATATATTTCATAGGGAGCACAAGCAAACTTAAAATAAATATGCCTGGACAATGCTTTTGTAGAAGCATCATATAAAACATGGAGCCTTTTAAATCACCAAATGTTCACATGATGCCAATGCAAACTTGAATGATGCCAATTACATGTGTGTCTGTCTCTCTGTGTGACATTTGTTTAAGAATGTACACAAAAGGCACAATCCATGGAAAGAGGTGTTTGTGTGTGAGAGAGGGAGAGATGGAGAGAAAGAAGGATAATTGTTCAATCTTAGTGAAATAATTGGGGATTAAGAATTTACTTTGAACTTTACTTTCCAGGGAAAATTTAGATCAAGATGATAGCAATATTAAAATAATCCTGCATTTTCTCTTCCAAACTCTTAGAGATTCTTGGTTTGGTCTCAAATAGAATCTAAAGACTCTGTGAATCAGCATGGCTGAACCTAACAGAATAGTGATAAATTTGGCAATTCATTTAATAATATATTTGACATTTCTTCATCTGTGCAGAGGACAATTGAAGGAAGAACAACAAATATAGGCTTGAATATCTGAATAACTGGCTGGAAAGCCTACAAGGCAGCAATCCCAAGGTCCTTGGGAAAGCATTCCAGGCACTGTAGAATTGCTGTGAAAAAACCTTTCTGAGATTTAAGACAGTGTTCTAGTGGTTTGGCAGCATTCTGGCTGGCCTCTCTAGAGACTGGACCACCAGCTTTGCAGAGGCTCTTCCACAAGATCCTGATTCAGATGAAGAAGGAGCTGGGGACTGGGCCTGGTGGTATGAGAATGCAGAGCCAAGGACAGAGAGAAAGCAGATAATGCACCTTATGTGGGGCTACCCTTGAAGACTGTGGTGGCCACCCAGTTTTAGAAAGACCGTCTCACTGAGGCCTGGCTGGTGCCCACCTTACTATCTTTTTGGCATCTAGTCAAAACCTTTCTCTAATGCAGGCCATTTAATTAGTGGGGATTTGGTTACTTGTTTAATCACATTCAATCAGTTGTTATCTTGCTTAAATTACTGGAATTTAATATGTATTTTAAATGTGTTTTTAATTTTTTGTATGACAATCCCCCCCCCCCAGTGTTTTAATACTGTGGTACATTTTAGATTACGTTTTAATGGATTGTTGTAAATCACACAGAGAGTTTTGGTTCTTGGGCAAGAAGTTGAATAAATGAGTGAATGAATGAGAAAGTGAAGAGAAGAAAGTCCAAGTTCTTCTAGAACCCATGAAAAGTCACAGACTTTCTGAAAAAGAGCAAGAGGGTGAAATAGGAGTGACCTATCCAAAGGTAAGACATCAATTAAGGATGAAGGACCAACTACAAAGGCTAAGACGGTTTAAGAATTTGTCTTTGAGAAATAAGGAACTGCCTTGGAGGTTTGGTCTTTGGGATCTTGGTTATTGAAAAGGGAGGGCAGTTGATACTAATCAGTATGAGAGTACCTTTCAATTGGTTCGTATGGCAGAAATGAACTAGTTCTGTAGAAATTTAACACCACTTGTTGTCTTTCTCCTACAGCATAACTAAAGCCTGCAACTGAAAGAGCAGATCCTCCACTTAACTCTAAAGGGGGCCTAAGAGGACCTGGACAACCACTGTGTGAACAGAATGCTGGACCAGATATCTCTTTGATCTGATTCAGGAACACTCTTAAGCTTCTATATAGCCTGAAGTACCTAATCCTGCCTAATCTAGGAAGCTGAGCAGAGTTGGGCCTGGTAAAAACCTGGATGTGTGACTTGAGTCCTGCATTCAGCATGTGGATGGACCTGATGGCCTGCTAGATGCCTTCTAATTGTATGATTCTATATACCTATGTTCTCATCCTGGAAGAACAAGGCTGGAATTAATGTCAGTTTCTGACCCCTTTATGTGTTGTCAGGTGTAGCTTAAGGAAAAGTGAGCTGAAAGGGACTTATTGTGGCATGATACAGTTATGGTTCTTCATGAGTTTAAAAGGGATAACAGAAAAGCAAGGTGTAGTTCAATAGACATCTCACCTGGGAAAGGAATTTCTAATACTATTTCAGTGTGGCTGCACCCTCACTGAAATCAATGCCTGACAAGATCAGGCGTCCTCACCACATTCATTCATCAAGGAATCATACAAACAATACCAGGTTTGTTCTCCTAGTGGGTGGATGGCTTGTTCCACAGAAAAATGGTGCCGCATGAATGACACAAGATAGTGAAATGAACTGGTTAACACACTAGGATTTCTTCTTCATGTATACCAGAGTAACAATGGTGTAGGGGTGACCTCTGGACCTCTGATTAGATCTTGGTGCTGAAGTTGCTTCCTCTCAGGAGCCAGAATCACCCCAGACCAATCTGGAGGGCTGGATGATGGGGCTCCTACCCCCAAAGTCTCCCTCTTCTCTCACATTATCCCATCCCATTTCACTTTCTGCATACTGAGAGAGGTACAGAACTATGTACCCCTTTCTGCACAGAACAAAGGATTTGGTCAGCACTTTGAACATCCTTCATCCAATTGTTGGCCAAGCCTGATAATGCGCAGATCGTCATTCTCCAAGCATCAGCTAGTTTAGGTCCCTCAGCACTGAGGTTACCCATCCCCGCTGTCAACCCAGAGCAAGTTACAACAATTTAATTGTAAATGATCACAATTCTAAATTATATTATGTTAAGGACTGATGCTATGAATCTCCAAACCTTGTAAATACTTAGTGTGTCTCATTTTAAAAATCCTCTAGACATTTAAAATGAACCCTGCTAAACATACATCGAATGAACTATTGATTAACTTCAGGAGGAGTGAACATAAAAGTTCTGCCTGCAGAAACTTCAAAAGAACGTCTGCCTATGACACATCAAGCTATATAGCTGGCAACTCTCCACTGCCATGGTCAGATCTGAAGAGACATAAAAGCACTATAATTTTTCAAGAGTTTACAGTTGCTGTTCTGGGCATCTGGCAGTAAATCAACTGCATGGAATAATATGCCTCTTTCTCTAGTAGTATTGTAAAAAATGCTTATCTGATCGTTTGGGTATTTCATCTGAGACTTGTTGAGAACAGCAGGCTATCACCTGGGGCAGGGCCGCCCAGCTCAGATGCAGACGGTGCATAGCAGCCATTTTGATCAACATGTGTTTCTGTTACAGAACACATGCAGCAGAAAGAGCCAGAATTTATCTTTTACTGTGGTATCTTTGAACCTCTTTGGATGGGCAATGAATATTAAGGATCAAAACATTTGGCTTTCCAGGCTAAAGGTAAATCATTTCTCTGCAGAAGGCATCAAAGAGAGAAGCAGCCACTGGTTAGACCAAGGACTCCAGGAGACATTACTTTCAGGATGAAGGTAGCAGCTTTCCTTCATTTTTACTCCAGAGCAGAGGTTCTCATGCTTTCTGGGCTGGTGGACATTTAACACTTGAGAGGGCATTAGTCCACTCTCACAAAACAAAAAGCAATTCCATTGCAGCGCTATGGTGGGAGCGACAGACATGAAAGCACCCATAACTTAGATGGCAAAGGGGTAAAGCCTAAAAGATAGGTTGAAGGGAGGTTAACTTGTTCAAGGACCAAAGTACAAGGTAGAAGTGGGGCCTGAACTTTAAAACCCAAAAGTACAAGTTGCTTTTTAGCATAGGAACTAGATGTTTAAAGCTGTGATGAAGAAAAGACAAAAGAAAAGAAGATTTCATACTGAAAAAAGGAGGGGGAAAAATCCATTCATGAGTTACAAACACATGTACAGGAATAAACCAAAAATGTGCTTAAAATAGCCATGGAGATAATAATTAAACCATCATTTCTTGGAAAATGGCTTTTTAGAATACTCGTTCACATCAAGAGATTAGAATGGGAAATCCCATATCAATTTGGTAAGGTGCTACTCTCTTAAATCTCTCAGACAGCTTTTATTGTGTCAGCACCACGGATGCAGCTGGTTAAAAGCCAGCTGACTCAGCCTAGGAATGGACTTTTCCACATCTGATACATAAAGCTCAGGAAGGTCCAGGAAAAGGAAGAGAAGGTGGTGGTCAGAGTACTGGGGTCAGCAGCACAGTGGCTCTAGGGGTCATTGTGCCCCTGCAATGCCCATCAAGCCTCCTGGCCTTTCACAGTTTTTTTTTTTTTTAATTTTAAAAATGTATTGTCCACCCGTCGGCTGGAATTCCTTCATAATGAAGATCTGACCTCCTCTGCCATATTAATTTTCCTACAATGTTCCACATGGGTTCAAAATATTCTTACCAAATGATGATGACAGTTGAGACAAGCTGAAGTTTTGCTATGCAATGTTTGCCCAATCAAGAGAGGGAGGGAGGGAGAAAGAGTTGCAGGTCATTGTTGGTAAAACCAGGGAAGCCAATGTGGGGGTGACCTGGAAAGTCAGGGAGTGTGTTTGTATATCTGTGAATTAGGTATCAATTTTTCTTCCATTGGCTTTTGGCAGAATTACCTAGTTCATATCTTCCAGACGGAACACAACTCAGATGCAATCTGCAGTTTAAGATATTCATTTCTGAACTTGCAATATGATTTATGGGCCTTGTAAAATGCATTCAACAACATGTGAACATTTGAAAAGTGCTCATAACATAGATGTCTATTTTTGAAAATGCATACACACACACTTTAATTGATGGGAGAAGAGTGTGTAGATTTCAAAAATGTGTACAATTGATGTATATATTTGAAAAATGTATACACGTAATTTCATGCTAAAAGAAAACAAAACTCACAATCTGGTATGGACTCAAGTCTGTCCTTTGAGATGGAATTTGGAAAACATTAGCAAACTTGGATTTTGCTGATTCACAGAACCTCCACTGTAAATGGATGCTATGGTTGTGTGTGTGTGTGTGAGAGAGAGCGAGCGAGCGAGCGAGCATTTAGGGGTGATCCAGAGGGACACAAGGGAATTTGGTGGGCATCCTGAAAGAATATGTTTTTGTGTGTATTTGCAGCACATTTTTGACTGTGTTCGCAGGAGAAAACTATGTCGTGGGGTTCAGACCACACCTCTGGCCTGTATTTAGGTTTCTGGACAATCTTACTGTCTTTTAGTGTCACCAATCTGCTTGTGCATGAAATAGGCATTTTGTGACTGGTCCTATCCAAACAAACATTTTGTAACAGCACATACTTTCTTAATATTCTTATTGTGCTCACCAGCTGAAAAGGGAAGTCCCCTGTCATAACATATAAGTTTGTTAGCCAGAAGGTATGAAATCAGGAAGAACCAAGGAAGATCTTTCTTCAGAAGGAAACAGGAAATGAGAGCATTATCTTGGTCAAGCTAACTTTAGCATGAAAACATGAATAAACCACCAAAACCTAGGGCTGCAGTCTGAAGCTTATCTTTTGGAATAATCTTGATATTTCAAAAAGGGGTTCCCTTGAGGTAGCAGATTGTCCTAGAAGCTCTGCCTCCTGGCAGGAGCCAAACAATAGAGCCCGAACCCTAAAGACAATAACTCAGCAATCCCAGCAGGCTGAAAGTCAACCATTGAGTGCAACAAAGCTCCATCTGAATTGGTCATTTCCCTCCTACGAGAAATGCAGTGCCATGTTAATAGAAATGCACCGATTTAGCAAACATTAAGATTACTTTAAAATTATTTCACGTTTATGTCCTTTATATAGTATATAAAGGAAGATCCTGTGTTAGAAACACAGGAAACATTTATCTTGGATTTCTTATCTATAAATACAGTAATAATCAAGATGATGTTTTGCACCAGTGTATTATTTGTTTTCTGTGTTACTCACTGCTATGCTTCCTTCAGAGAGTTTTGCTGGCTGAACTTTATATGGCATCTTCTTTACTTCAAAGGACACATTGACAGAAAGAGTATAATGACCATTTTTCCTCTGAAAAATAAAATACAGCAGAGAGCTTTTCAAACAACATTTTAATTAATCTCCATAAGATATGCATTTGATATTTCTTAGGGGATCAATTCTCACTTAAAAGTACATATATGTCCTTTATCATGATATACTTGAAATATCCATCATGTCATGGACATTATCATATGTTTGTACTCTGGAGAGCTGTGTACGTATGTGGCAGGAAAAAAATAGAGATCCTTGTGGCACCTGAATGACTAACAATTTGATTCAGGCACAAGCCCTGATTGGATACTTCATCAGATGCATTACATGTTAATGTCAAATGGGTAGTTTCATATCCATACACAGGCTTGGGTTGAGTTAGGTTGGAAATCTAAACTGTGTCATCAGAAAAGACTGTGATGAGTACATTATTGCTGTTGTTGTTGTTATTTAATTTCTTTACCACCTGGTAGCTGAAGCTCTCTGGGTGGTTTATTAATGGCTGTCATTCACAAGTTGTCACTGGTTGTTATCACTGCAATAATAAGATGACCATATGCAGTGTGATCATAACAACCACAACTGTATCCTTATGGAAGTTGCAATAAATGGTGCTTGACCTCTGGATGAACCATACCTCAGCAACTTTGCACTGACATTTGTCCTTGAAAATTATTTGTTAAAGAACGACCATTTTAATGCCATTGACAGCGTGTACTGGAAGGCTGAAACATTCCTCTACTCTTCAAGTGTTCTAGACTTCTTGTGATTAAAATGTGAGTAGGAATAAACTGGCTGATCCCTCCGCTTCTGTTGGGTCCTCATTTCCCCAGCCCGGCATGAGTCTGCACTGGAAAGCCAGCTCAAGACATAGTACACTTGGGTTGTATGTGTGTAGGGCAAGGTTCCCTGCCGCAGACCTTTGCAACACGGGGGCAGTGGGTGTGGGCGAAGGGATATGGCAGTGGGGACACAACCAAGAATGCTCCCACGGTGCTCTTATGGCATGCTGTCAGTTTTCTTTTGATCACATATGCATGATGCACGTACACCAGTGGGGAAAAATGCAGGAAAAGAGCTATCCTATATAAGGACTGTGGGTATATAAGCTGTAAGAACTGCACACAAAATCAATCAAAGAAAAAGGGATACAAAGGCATTCTCCGTACCATGAACTACTAAATGGAGGGTTTAACAATTCCATTAGCAATACACGAGCAAGATACAAAACTGGATAGCAGATTCATTTGACTAATGAGTCTCTATTGCAGAGACCAAGAATTTTGGAAGGAAGCCCAACAGAGTTTACCAATCTTTCTGTGCCTACACAGGATTTAGGAGCTACTAAGAGTGAGATAATCCAAGCATCCTCCATTGCTTGCATACTATCCAGTTCTGAACACTATATTTCAGCACCTTTACAATGTGCTCTGCCTGCTTCCTCCCTCCATGTTTATGCTTCTAATCCACAGGCTTCCAGCCAGCTTTAAAGTGTTGCAATGGGCCATATTTTCCCCAAGCAGTTTAAGGTGTCCACTTTAGACATCCACAATTGGGGAGGATGGGGGGGGGGGGAGGCAGGGCAGAGATTTGTACAGAATTTGCATATGCTAATTTATATGCTTGCATGCAGATTAAGATGCAATTAGCATAATTTCAATGGAAGAATACATCTCACAATAATGGTGAAAACTGTGTGCCAGCCTGCTTTGTGTGTTGCCCAGGGGCTAGCTTTGGATGGGTAACTTTAAGGTCCCTGCTTTCCTTGCTTATGGTTCTTCTATAAAATAGCCTGAAAAGGAATGTTTCCAAACAGAAGTGCCCTAAAATGCTCTTCGGTTTTTGCAACCTATCACTAAGTCTTCCATGAAGAACCAGCAAGACAGGCACACAGCTGGGAATAATTAACCCCTTTCATTATTCACTTAATCCACCTGTCTCATTTCCCTGTATCTTTCAACATTTCCTTAAGCAAGATTCCCCCCTAGATACCCCAGTTCTTCTCAACTTTGAAACAAAGGCACAGTCTGAAGGAGTAGAAGTTAAATCCTAATTGCTTATTTATGGAGGGTGAGGTCCTTATTCTCATAAGCTGTTCCATGCTTTGGCAGATGCAGTGACTTTTGGGCCAAGGAATGAATTGGCACAGCATCTAAATTATCCTAAGAATATGAACTAAACACCAGTTTTGACTGAATCTATGCACAAAGCTTACTCTCATTACAATTAAAATCACAACAGGCCCAGATCTCTTTGAAAACTCAAAAGCTGGGGAAAAGCAAAGGGAAAGCTATTTTTATTTTCCTAAAGTATATTTATATGCAAAAGGAACGTTATATTCCCTTAGGTGATAGCCATACCATGAAGCATCACTACATTTTGTATTTTGTCTTAGCTTAGCTTTTGCTCTTAGCTTTAGTTTTGGCAAAGTTCCATCACTGATGGAGAAACTTCACTGTCCATATTATATCCTGCATCTGGGAAAATCTTCTTTGTTTCTGAGAAGGATCTCCCTTCTCTGCTCCAGGACAAACAGATTCTGGGGTTTTCTTTCATACATTTCCAGTGCATCCAGCATTCTCATCTCATCAGTGCAAAATGTTTATATTCTTTGGAATTTCCTGCAGCATCAGCTTGCTCCCCCATTATTTTAGCAAGACTTTCTCCCCTTGCAGCTGCTGTTCAGAGCAGGCCTCCTTAAGTTATTTTATCTCTCATCTGCAAAGCGGATTTATGAGTACACTAATCCCTGACCTTTGGCCTCGAGGGTGGGGCTTATACAAACATACACCCATTTGAAAGCACAAGTTAATTGTGAAAAATGTGTCATTGTTCCTTAAGGCTGAGAACTGCTGTGGCTGCTTCTGGAATAACAAGAAGTCAGCTGACAGACTCTCTTCTCTTTGAATTCAAATGACTGCATCATCATATTGGTGGCTTAAAATATTTTGCCTCTTAGGTCATCAGAAATAACAGAAGGAACCTTTCCAGACCTGCAGAAGGAATACAGAATGACATGGTGAATCCCTCCCAGACGTGTTGCCATTTGCCGTTGATTCTTGAGTCCGATCTTTACCTGGCATACAAGTGGGCACTTACACATGGACAAAATGAAAGGGCAGGGATTTGCATTAAATGTGTATATCCTTAGGCAGATGCAAATTTAGAATCAATTACTGTACTTAAGTGGAAATTATGATAGAAATACTGGGGAAGATGGGCCTCCTCTGTCTGCTGCCCAGGTGCTAACTGCTGATGGGCCACTTGAAGGCCCCAGCTCCTCTCTGTTCTTGGGGTTCGTTTCTTCATAATTTACTTATTTTGTAAATGTATATACAGGTGGGCATATTTTAAAATATTTCTAAACACTTCTCAAAATATACATTAAAAAACCACTGAAATAAAAATTACTATATGTATACAAAAAATCAATAATCCATTAAAATCAATCAGAGGCAATACTGCACCATAAATATAAGCAAGCAAGCTGGGCTGCAATTTGCTCAAGGCCCGAGTAAAGCAATGAGCCTTTAACTGGCATCTAGATCATGATGGAGTTGGGGCCTGCGAAATACCAGGGGGAGAACATTCCATAAATTGGGTGCCACCACAGTGAAACACCTGGAGGGAACAATCCTATGATCCCTTCAAGGGCTTGAGATCCTCATAACAGTTTGCCCTTGAACAGAATTTGGACAGCCACTGAACAGTCCTGCAGTGGAAGCGAGGTGGCTATCCTAATTAACAAATTTCGTATTCAAAACTTATTATAGAACATGACCCAGAGAAACCCCAACTGCTTCCCCCAGTCATAAATAATACAACTGTCTCTGATTATTCACAATCCAAATATGATGGAAAGTTGGGTAGTTTTCTGAAATACTGATTTTACATTTGAGCAAGGTTCTCTGGACTGGTCCAAAAGGGAATGGTACTTAAAGGTAAGGGGTTTTGCCCCTTTCTTTTATTGTTTGGACTTCCAGCCTCAGACAGGACCTCTGTCTATTCTTTCTAGTTACTGCTGCATCCAGACTTGAGAAACATCTTGCCATCAAACAATGTATAGTTTTGTTTGCAATGAACAGTTTTTTGCCCGAGGCTGGTACCCTATGAATTCCACTTTTCCAAATATCCCTTTCCCAGGAAAATGTCCACAACCTTATCCTCAAATAAAGGAGAGTAATATGAAGAAAAGAACTTAGTGAAATCAATAAGAGCAAAACCTTACTGGCCAGCATTAGGACTTCGCTTTTGCTGTAGCTATGCCTGAACTTTATGAATCTAAGGATGGATCCCAAATGAAGTAATAAGTAACTCCTATCCCTCCTTTTGGTGTGATCCTCTGCCTGCATCTTTGTGGGAGAAATTAAAGGGGGAATGGGACAATAAGTTTGTGGAGGCTAATTAAGCACTTTACTATGTTGAAACTACTGAGTTTACTTAGAACCCCAAAGTTTGCTTTGAGGCAGTAAAATTAGATGCTGTATGAAATACTACTCTCCACTTTTCTGCCTTTCTCCTTCCCTTTTGTGAGCAAACTCCCAGTAGTGGGCATGTAAGAATAGGAACAATGATCCGACTGTGAAAAAAATATGTTGGTAACTTTTAAAGTTTAAAAGGCTTCTGCTATCATACTACACCCTGCACTGGTCTGCCAAGGGAGTAAGTCCTAAAGTTTCCTAATCAGTGCAAACACTTCTGAACTCAGTGAGAAGAGGCAGGCTTGTAAAGGTAGATGATTTCACTGGATTGTCTCAAAAGATACAGAGCACAGCTCAGAAGATCCAGGGCAAATGTTTAGAGAGCCTGCATCCCACAGCATCTACCACCCCAAGTGCAACTAAATTTGCCAAATCCAGCCCAAGTGAATTAGGCATAGAGTGTTCTCGGAGCCATTCTAAATGTTACACACAAACATGTTTTGTCATGATACGAAAGGCTCTTTAAAATTGAAAAAGCTAATTTGGGATGGGGTGAGAAGTGTCAGGTAAGGAAAATGTCAAGCATCCTACCTACTTGCTTCGTTTTTATTTATT